GAAAAAGTAGAGAAATAAAGGTAGCGGTGGAGAGAGATAGGGATAGATGGGTAGACACAGATGTTAGGTAGGCACTAGGTAGGTAGGTAAACAGGGTGTCTGGTTAGAATGAAGACCCACCCTGTTCCCTGCCCGCATCCCAAACATCAGTGATGTTCCAACACCGCCTGTCTCCACCTCATCCCTGAAGGAGGGATTCGGGGTCAGCCGAGCCACGAGGAGCCATCCTGGCACGTCCCTGGCCCGCTGTGGGGCCGTGGGTGAGCCAGTGCCAGCCCCTGGGCCTCCACGTCTTACTGACAGGCCGAGGGGCAGGCCAGATGGTGCCGGCGGCCAGACCAGCCCTCAGCGTGCTTTTGCGCGCCCACCTGTTCGCTGCGTCCTCTGCTGGTGTGGTTCCTCACGCTGTGTTTGAGGAGACCTGCAGATGGTGTCACCAGCACGCAGGGGTCAGGAATGGCGCAAAAGGACCTGGATTTCTGGCTTCTTGTGCCAGGCCAGGGGGTCTGCAAACACTGGTCCCGGGTCCCCAGGTGGCAGCTGCCGGGGCTGAGGAGCTGCCTCCAGGTCACCACAGACCCCACGAGGCCCCAGGCGTGCCCCTGGGCCCCTTCGCTCATCCTGCAACCTTCTTGGCCCCTGTTACAGTCTATCCTGAATCCTGGGCCTAGAAACCATCCAGGGCCCGAGACTGACATTCGATCATGAGGCTTTTCCTTGGGCTTTGTAACGGGAAGGGGACACCAGTGGTGGTGGGTCCTAGCCTGCTCCCTGCCCCAGAATTCAGTGCTCCCTGACTGCAGCCCCCATTCCCTGGGCCGCCCCGCGTCCCTGTCTGCCCCTGCCTCGTGTTCCGTGCGCCTCACTCTCTGTGTATCTTTGGAGAAGGAAAGGGCCGTGCAGAGCTGTGGGCCCAGACGTGCCTGTTCTGAAGCGTGGCTTTGGCCACTTCCTAGCTGGCCACCTGCGTGTCAATTTCCTCATCTTTAAAACAGGAGTAACACTTTCACAGAGTTGTGAGGACAGTGCAGTACCGAGGACCCTGCCTCTAGAGCAGGCTGGGAAGGGCGCCCTGAAAAGGGGTCTTGGTCAGTTACCACGATCCTAGATGCAAACCACAGGCACTTGCCGGGTTCCAGGCCATGCGCCGAGGACGTGTGCACGTGACCTGACTTCTCCCACCCAGCCCTGCGGCACCAGTGACAGGCATACAGATGTGAGGCTCGGAGAGGCACGGTGGCTCCCCGAGATGGCACAGCTGTGAGTGCCCAGACCTGCCGAGCCATCACACACCGCGCACCCGGGAACGGTGACTCGAGTGCTCGATCCCTTGGCCCTCTCGGAGCCGGGGAGGGGGCGGTGGGGGCGTTTGTCCCCAGTCTCGCTCTCCTCCCAGGACCGCCGGCTGCCCAGCGATGCCTGAGTCTCCTGCTCTCAGCCTCCGCCCCCTCGTCTGGTTCCCGCCTGGCAGCCCAAAGGTGGCTTTTGGAACACAAACGGGTCAAGGCAGGGCCCGCCAACACCTACTAGCATTTCTTGGCAAGGCAGGCGAAGCTACAGCCCCCTTCGCATCAGAGACCCCCTCACCCCCGATGAGTGCTGCTCACCGGCCGCCCCTGCAGCGGCTCTCCGGGCCTCCCCTGCAGCGGCTCTCCCGGCCTCCCATGCAGCGGCTCTCCTGGCCTCCGCTAGACCCTCCCGAGGCCCTCGGCCACACCCTCCTCACCCCGTCACCATGCTGTTTGACATCAGATCTGCAGGCTCTGTGGCCCCTCCTTGGGCATCTGCCTTGCTTTCCCAGGACCGTTAGAACACAGCCTAGGCTGCCCGGACCCTGTGGCTCACCGCTGTCCCAAGGGCCACCTGCCAGGGCACCTGGCCACAGCAAGGGCTCGCTGACAACTGTTCAGTAAACAAGGGTTTTTGGAAGAGTGACTGCAGAATGGCCTGGCTCCTACCCTTCCCAGCATCTCGGCTTCTGCACCGGGACCCCCGCAGCCCCTCATCAGGAGGCAGCCCTCCCCACGCCCCTGCACGTGGGCTGGCCTGCAGCTTACTGGGGCCAACAGACTGGCAAGAGTGAGTCGTGATGGTTGGGCCTGTGCCCCAAAGGCCATGTGCCACACTGCTCTGTCCGCTCTGCCCAAGGCCCTGCTATGCCCTGTGGGAAAGCCCAGACCTGCAGGTCAGTGAGACTTAGGCTGACATCTGCTTGATGGTAGGCATGCCAAACACCCACCCTTCCTGCAGCCCAGATGCCCCTTGTGGCATTTGCAGCAGGAGGGGCTCAGGCTGGAGTCAGGGGGGTGAGGGTGGAGGGCTGGGCTGGGTGTATTTTGGAAGTGGAGTCAGAGTGGACCCAGGGGGCCAGGGGCAGTGACCCTGAGGAACGCTGGACGTGGTGCCAGACTGGGAACCCTTTGGTGACCTACAGCAAGTAAGGAGCAGGGCTGGGTCCCCACCAGGCCCGCTGGCTCCCTTCCCCTGGGGAAGAGGACGGGGGTGCGGCAGCTGTGGGGAGGCTGGGGGGACCAGCTGACTTCCTGACAGAGCCCTGAGCCATTACCCCGGGGACATGCTGCCAGGACTCCAAGCCACATGGAGCACCTGTCACTAGAGGCAGCAAAGCTGAGGCCCAGCTGGCAGAGCCAGGCTTTAGGGTCCAGGGTGTGGATGGAAACAAAAAAGACCTCAGGCATGGGTGGCAGCCAGGGTCAGGGGAGGGGGGCGCCACAGTCACCAGCCTGTCACTGGCAATCGGTGGGCAAGTCCATTTCACCGGCTCCTTCTCTTCAGACGCAGGTACCCGTCCTTCCCCGCCTCCTCCACAGGCACCGGCCGACTCCTGACCGGCACCCCTGGGCTTTCCCATTATGCTCCCTTCTAAAATCAGCTTCATTCTGTGGGGGGTGGAGCGGTGCCACCCTGTGTCCCTCCCCTGCTTCCCCACCTGCACGGTGCGGTGAGCTGGAGGCCTGTTGCTGGGTAACCTCTGGTTCGCTGCTTCAGACTTTGGGGACTCACTGAAACCTTCACTGTGGGATTTTTAAAAACTACAGAGACCAAGTCCAGGTTCATGTCTTATTTGACTCACTTATGATGACCCAATGCAATGTAGTGCCCGCGAGGAGGCCAGGAGAACCGGGATCAACACTAGAGTCAAGACCCACTGAGGTCCTCCAGGCCCCGGACCCCCGCGCCTGGCAGTCCTCATGACAGAGTGAAACTGGTCAGCACAGCCAACCGGCTTTGTACAAGCCAACCTCTAACCCGACAGGGGTGGTTAGCCAAGCACAGTTCCACCCGCAAGGACTGAGGTGACCTCCGGGAAGGGTTTTTCTTAACATTCCGGCATGACCCCATGAGGCTGCACAGCTGAATTTTCCTGTTATTTTAAAGTCTGGGCTGTTTCCAAACAGCGGGTGCAGCTCTTCCCCACCCCCAGGGTTGGGCTCTCACGGCGCCAGTTTCCTGACATCTGGCAGACGGCGCCCAGCACTGCGCACCTTTCCAGGTAGCATGGGCCGCACACTTGGCTGGGGGCCAGCAGGCGGCCTGGGCGCTATGTGCGCCCACCAGTGGACACAGGGCCGCCTCCTCCGTGGACCTCCTGTCTCCAGGGTGTCCCTGGGATCAGCAGCCCCACCGGGGCCTAGGCTCACCCAGGCTTCCACTCTGCATGATGCACGGTGACCAGTGGCCCACACTGAGGGCCACAGAGAGTGTCGGGGGCTGCCAGAGGGCGTGGGTCTGGTAGCTCACAGGGGAAGGGGTGCTGCCTCCACAGTGAGACAGCAGCCACGTAGGCGCAGAGGCAGTGAGCCCGTGTGGCAGCAGATGCTGGAGCGGGCCCCACTGCTGTGAGGGCAGGTGCAGGGCCCTGGACTCCGGTCCCCAGCATGGCCCAGCCACTTACCCTGCCCCGCTGACTTGGTTTCCCAATGTGGGACCCCCTGGACTGTGAAAATGAACACACCATGGACTCTCCGCTAGGGAGAGGATCTGGCCGTGGCACACATCAGTTTCTACTATTATCAGACCCACCGTCAGGCCCTGGCCCGAGCCCCCTCCACCTGCTCCCAGGCCCCTCTTGGCAGCCTGCAGCCGATGAGACTTCCCCAGGCCGGTTTCCTGTGCTGGAGCAGCCCAGCGAAGGGTGACCAGAACCTCGGTGCTCTGGCGGCTGGGCAGCGCGGAGCATTTGCACTTACTGCCTCGTTTAACCCCAACGGGCTATGCCTGGCTGCTTTACAAGCTGGGCGCTGTGGCCCACTCGTGCACTCAGACCACTTGGCCCCAAACCTCCCTTAGCTGCCTGGGGACTTTGCCCCCTTGTGGGTCCCAGAAGGGGGGCCGCACACTTGCCAACCTGCAGGTCCCTTTCCCAGACACTCCTGCAGCCAGGCCCAGTCCACAGCCTGGGCTTCACTGGTCAGATGCACCAGAGAGAAGAAACCAGGGCCTAGGCTCAAGGGCACTGTGCTGAACTGAGAATAGGGGGTGAGCCCACCCTGGAAAGGGGCTGACGTCTGCACTGAGCAGCGACCCACCAGGGACCCATGGCCAACAGGCTCCTGCCCACCACCAATGGGACTGCATTCCTCTCAGCAAAATGGGCCACCTAAGACATACACGGAATGGGGTGATCTACTCCAGTAACAGTCAGCAAGGGACGGGGCACCACTAATGCTACCATCGTGGAAACTGGGGCTCAGAGGGGGTGTGACCTAAGATCATGCAGTTAGGGAGCCGCAGAGTCAAGATTCACACCTAAAAGATATTAGGTGGCCTCATTCCTGCCCTGTAAGATGGAAAGAGGTGACCCCAAGCCTAGGCTCCATGGGACGTGTGCTGGGTAGAAACTCATTTCTCATCACCTCACCAACCACAGGGTGCCAGAGCTGGCCAGGCTCCCAGGGCCTCCAGCACAGTGCCGTCCACAGAGCCCCTCCCCAGACACTCACTCAGGAGGCCGCCGAGGACAGAAGCTGGGACTCAGGTCCGCACACCTCATCAGTGACTTTATTACTCTCCAGATGCTGGTGAATTGTCTCCACTCCGCTTCCCACAAACAGGCATCTCTGGCCATCTCATGCCTTCCCGGGTCGCAGAGAGATGCGAGGCCAAGGAGCCCGGTGCCAGGTCCCCGAGTCCACCCTGTCAGGACTGTCAACCTGCCCACCCCCAGTCCGTCCAGGTCTCCTAGGGGCAAGATCCAGTCCCCTTCCTTCAGTCTCCTCAGGAGCGGGGGTGCCTGCAGCTCCTGCCGGCGCCTCTTCCGAGCTCCAGCCGGCCTGGCGACACCCCCGCCCGCCTCTGTGAGGAGAAAGAGGCGGGTGGGGGGCAGGGCAGGCACTGGGGGGTCACAGGTGGGAGCCAAACAGCTTCAGCAAGTTCAGACAAGGGCAGGGCCCGAAGGTGGGTGGTGGGTCTGGGGGACAGAGCCGCGAGGCGGCGCGAGGCGGCGCAGGGCGGGCGGGCGGGGGCGCCCGGGGCGCGCGGCTACCCCAGCGGCCAGGGTGGGAAGGGGCTGCCGCCCGCCGTGCCCGAGGCCGCGCCGCCTGTGCCGCCCGCCGCCCGGCCGTGGGTGCGCTGGTGGCGCAGCACGTGCTCGCGGCGCCCAAAGCCCTTGCCGCACTGCCAGCAGGCGAAGGGCCGCGCGCCCGAGTGTGTCTTGCGGTGGCGCACCAGGTGCTCGCGCCAGTAGAAGGTCTTGCCGCACTCGCAGCAGGCGTGCGGCTTCTCGCGGGCGGGCAGCGGGCGCAGGGCCGGCCCGAGGCCCCCGGGGTGCGTGCCGCGGTGGCGCCGCAGGTGCTCCTTGCGCCGGAAGGCCTTGCCGCACTCGGGGCAGGCGTGCGGCTTCTCGCCCGAGTGGCTCTGCCGGTGGCGCAGCGGGTGCGCCGGCTTCAGGGCGGCCTGGCCGCACTCGGGGCAGGACGCGGCGCCCGGGGCCGCCAGGAAGGCGGACGGCGCGGGCGGGGGGCTGCCGGGCTCCTGCTTGTAGGGGCGCGCGGCCTGGTCCGCTGCGGCCGGCACCTCAGCCCCGGGGGCCGCATCTCCTGCCGGGCAAAGGCGCGCAGTCAGGGCTGCGGTGCCCGGAACGGCGGGCGGCGCGGCAGGAAGGGCAGGGTTCGCGCGGGTGGTGAGTGCTAAGGCCGGGCAACCGCCGGGGTGGGGGGCGCGCCTACTTCGGGCGCCTTCTCACCTGGTGTCCCTGAGCCCAGCAGTCCTGGGGCCTGGTGGGCGCCTCGTAATGGGTGGGCGGGTGCGGCGGGAGGGCAGACAGTGGGAGTCGGATGGGTGGATGAACAAGATGGTAGACAGGGGGAGATGGGTGGGGAGGGGGTTGGGGGTAGGGGTTGGTGACTGGTGGATGGGGTGGGAGTGGGGTTCCGGGGCAGACTGGGGTGTGTGTGCTGACCACCCGCCTCAAGGGGTGGGTGGCATGGGAGGGGTATCTGCGGGCGAGTGGGCTGGATGGAGGGCCGGCCCCTCCTCTGGGTTTTCAGAGTTGGTGTGTGTGTGGGGGGGTTTCAGAGCAGCTCTGCCCCAGGTTTAACCTCAGGGCCTCCTGCTCACAGTTCAACTCAGGGAAAAGGCTCCAGTGCAACAGACCACTGACTCCCAGACCACGCGCAGCTCATCCCACACCAGGCCCGGTCTCACACCCTGGCCTCCCAGACCAGAGTCAGGCGGGCTCACATGAGGGGCAGGGGCTGGAAGCCTCGGCCCTGCCCTCGCCAGCCGCCTGGGCTCTGGGCCTGGGCTTCCTCCTGTCGGAGCCAGGCTTCCAGAGGGCATGCCGCACACATGCCACGTGTATTTGAGAATGTGAAAGGCGCTTAAGAATCAGGCAGTGTCATCAAAACCTGTGCTTCAGCTCTTGAGGAAGACAGGGCCCAGGTCGCCTCCCCCAAGGACAGCACGGGCTGCAGAGCAACTGGCAAGATGGTGCCCAGGTCTGCTGACAGCTGGCAGGCATCGCGGGGGACTGGCCATCCTGACCCCACTCCCTGTGCCCTCCAGGGGACGTGTCCAGTTCATCTCCAGCCCGGAGTCTGGCAGGGCCCAGCATTCGGCAGGAGGCCCCTCAGACTGGGGGATGAGGGGCGCTGGGTGATGGGTCAGACAGCGTGTGTGGGAAGGGGGTGAGGGGCTCACCTATGGGCATCAACCCTTCGCCCTCCTCTCCAGCGCCGACCCCAGGACCTTCTGCCCCATCACGAGGCACCCTCATTGCCGATCCCTGAAACAAGAGTTACCATATTCAGAACCGAGAACCCGGCAACAGCCTCTACTGCTCCCCTCCCGCACCAACCGGTCAGCGGGCCAGGCTGGAGCACAAACTCAGTCAGGGACCGCCAAGCCCAAGCAGCCCCCAGAGGACATCCCCCCCACAACCTGAGAGGCGCGGGGCCAGACCCGCCCCACAGAAGGGGCCTGCAGGAGCTGCCGGAGGTGGTCAGCGCGAGCGTCACGCTGCAGTTTAAGCCTGCTTGCCCCTCTCCGCTCACAGAGTGGGCTCCGGGAGGGGGCCTGGTCTGTCTTCCTTCTGCAGACCCACCCTTTTCGGGAACAGCTTCATTGAGATGAACTCACATGCCACAGGATCCACTCGCTCAACATACAATGCAATGGTTTTCAGTATATCCAGAGTCTGTGACCATCACCACAATCCACTTTAGGGTATTTTCATCACTCCTAAAACAAATCTCAACCCATTAGCAGTCACTCCTCCACCCCCAGAACCAAAACCTGCTGTCTGTCTGCCAGATCTGCCTTTCCATTACAGCTCATAGTCAGGGAATCACATGAAACACGTCCTTTCCTCACACGTCTGCCATTCCGAGGTGTACCACTGGTGCTACCTCGTCAGGGCTGAGCAACACCCCACCGCGCGGGCAGGCCCGCGGAACCCCGTTCGCTAGCCAGCCACTCCGGGGCTGTGCCGCCCACACAGGTTTGGACGGACACACTTCTCCTGGGGGTGCACTCAGGAGTGGAGCTGTGGGTCATGGGGCAGCCCCGTGTCTAACCTTTGAGGAACCATGGCGGAGCACCAGCTCACACGCCCCACTGCAGGGAGGGTGCCGACTCCTGGTCCCCCTCACGAGCATCCTCAGTACATGCAGAGCAAGTGACCAGACAGATGCATCAAGGTTCCAGCCCCCGCCTTCACTCTGACTGACCAAGAAACACTTCCTGAAGAAGGCGTCTTGTAAGGGAATGCTTAGAGGGGGGGTGGGTTTTGCAGGAGGCCGACGAGGTCCCTGGGTACCTCCAGCCACATACTAGCTTCGGGGGCCTGGGCAGGGCACCTCCCACCCTGGTGTCAGTCAGAGGGGTTGGAAAGGTCTTCCCATGAGTCCTGACTCAGACTGAGGGATGCCGAGCTCACGGCCTACAGAGGGCCCCACCCCAAGCCGGGCTCCCACACCCTCAGGCAGTGCCTCCCCAGGCACGGACAGGCTGGAGCAGAGCCCACACCAAACACCTGGCACCCCGGCCCCAGCTGTACTCGGGCAGCGGGCCTATGAGTGGAGCCCAGGAGGCCTTCCTTCCTCAGAGGACCCTCGGGTGTCCTGGGGGCTCGGGTCTGGGGTCACAGGTATGGGATGGTGAACCGTGCAGACGCCAAGTGCGTCCACAAGAAGCCAAAGCTCTTGGGCAGAGCGGCCACAGAGCTGAGGGGGGTGCCGAGCCAGGTGTCAGGACTTGGCATCTAAGATACAGCAGGGTTTACAACGGAATCTATAGCCCACATGTGGGTTCTACATCTCCGGCTGCCCCCTAACTAGCTGTGTGACCTTTAGATGGGACACCGGGAGGCTGGGGGCTCAGGAACAGGCACTGTTTTGAGGACCTACTGTGAGTCAGGCACCAGGGATGCGGCAGCAAACAAGAAAAACACAGCCCTGCCCAAAAGTGTGCATTCTAGTCGGCATGAGACTACTGGGAAAGAGCATGGGGCTCCACAAGGCTGACAGCCAGGAAGGGATTTCAAAGCCGGGAGCCCATGAAGTGGTGGGGTGCTCAAAGCATGGTGCTCGCACATAGCTGCCCGGCTGCCAGAGGGCCTGGCACTCTGGGCAGCACCACGCAGCTAAGGGCGTTGCGTGTGGGTCAGCCACCTGGATACAGCCTTGTGCGCAGGCAGAAACCCCTGCCCTGATATTTAAAGCAGCTCTACCCAAGACCGCCAGGTGCTGGAGGCCCACTGGGTCCTTCAGTGGGACTGCGGCACAGCCGGGCCTCCAGACTATGCAGCGGCAGCCAGGAGCCCACCCTCAACGCGCCGGCCATCTCGGGGGCACCTGAGCCACAGGGCTCCTGCTGAAGAGCCCTCTGTCTCACCTCCAGCCTCCGACCTCACACCGCCTACGTCCCTCAGTCTGGGCCTTTCACGCCCACTCACCCCTCAGCCACGTGTGGCCACCAAGCGCGTGACACGTGAGGAGCACCAGGTGTCGGGTGTGGGTGCTCTGAGCTCAGTAAAGCCGGTCACTAAGACTAGGCCCCTGCCCACGTTCAACTCTTCCAGTGGGGCTACAAAGACGGAGCGGTGCAGGCGAGGCCCACCTCCCTTCTCCCGCTGTGCAGCTCCCTCTAAGCCGGTCGTGGGCTTTCCCTAAAAGGGCCAGCTTCCAGCACTGTGGCCATGGGCCTGTGGGAGCTGCTCGGTCCAGCCCACGCTGTGGAAGCAGCCACACAACACATCGATGCTCAGGCGTGGGGCTAAGGTTCTGCCCCAGCCACAAAACGGGGCCCGGGCAAGACATGCCACAGGCTGCTGCCGCCAATCCCCGGCGTGCAGCGGACAAAACCTTGGCCAAAGAGAGGTCTGGCCTTTGCCCTCAGTGACTGGAGCTGACCTGGTGGCCCTGGGGCCCACGCCCTGCACCGCCAGCCCCTGCAGCCCCGGCTCTCCCTCACACCCGATCCCGGGTCCCGGCACACATTCGGTTTGCTCGCTCGTGTGCACATGATTCTGCCAGCACTGCAGGTGGCGAGGGGCAGGCGGGTGGGTGTGTGCAGGTCCCTCACGCCGCCCGCTCACCCAGAGCTCCTCCAGCAGGGCCACGGCCTCCTCCCCGCTCTGGGGCCGCCGGCTGCACACCCAGGCCTGGGTGTCAGGGGGCAGCGCGCCCAGGAACTGCTCCAGCACCAGCAGCTCCAGCATCTGCTCCTTGGTGTGCACCTCGGGCCGCAGCCAGTCCCGGCACAGGGCACGCAGCCGGCCCAGTGCCTCGCGGGGTCCCGGCGCATCACCCAGGTGGAAGTGCCGAAAGCGGTGCCATGGCGAGTCCAGGGTCAGGCCCTCAGCGGCCAGGCCCTCCTGCTTCACAGGCTGGGGGCACAGGACCTCCATGGGGGCCGGGGAGCCCAGGGCACAGCGGCACCTGTGGGGGAAGTTCAGATGGTGAGAACCCTGCTGGCTGTCCTGGAAACCACCGCCCCGTGCGCAGGAGAGCAGGCGCAAGGGTCCGGAACCATGCCGCGCAGTCCCCGCCCTGGGTCCCCCAGGAAGCAGTGGCCTGGGGGACGTGGCGTCCCCCTCGGTGCCACACTTACCCTGTCAGACGCCACCTGCCAGCCCTGAGGGTCCTAGGGGAGGGCTGCCTGAGAAGGTGCAGGACATGACAGGCACTGGGGGTGACTACACTCCCCTCCTGGATGGGCTGGGCATGGATCCTGCCTGGCCGTCCCTGGCGGTGACTGTGGGCACCTCCCGCGGATTCATTTGGGGTTGAGAACAGAAAATGGGCACAGAGCAGATGCTCAGAAATATGAGCTACCATCACGCCATCACCTTAGGACCGGTCTGCCCCAGGCACACACCAAACCCTACATCCCACAGCAGACACCTCAGGAAGCCTACCCAGAAGCCACCTGATCTCTTCCCTACCAGCTGCGATGGCCTGAACTGCATCCCCCAGGCTCCTGCATTGAAGCCCTGACCCGGTGGGACCGCACCGGGAAGTGGGCTTCCAGGGGAGGTGAGGACGCAGCAATCACAAAGGTGGTCAAAGGTTCAAACTTCCAGTTCTAGGGACATCACACGGGAGGGGACCCACACTGTGTACTTTAGAGCTGCCAAGGGGGGGGTCTTCCCCCTTTTTACCACAAGCAACACAGCCAGAAACTGTCAGCTGAGGGATGTTAACTGGACTCACCGAGGTGGCCACTTTCACCACACGTCATGCAGCTTAAATGACCATGATCTGCCAACCACAGCTCAGTAAAATTGGGGAAGAAAAGATTAAAATAAAGTCATAGGATGGAGTCTGAAAGGATCGGTGACCTCAGAGGACAAGCCATCCCCCCTCTCCCTGCCACGTGAGGACAGCAAGCAGGCCGTGGCGAGCCAGAAGAGGCCTCACCGGAACTGCACCTGCCTGCGCCTGGCCCCGGGTGCCCGGCCCCTAGAACCCAGAGACATGAATGGCTGTTGAGACCTGCCCCCAAATCCGCAGAGTCCCGTTGCCCGAGCTGAGGCTCTGCGGGGCCCCGACCCTGTCTGTGCGCTGGGAAATGTGGCCGACCAGCCCCCCAGGCCTAGCTGCCCTTCCCCCTCCTTGGAAAGCCCCCCGCCCCCAAGGAGGCCGCGAGCCGCCCACTTCCTTTTCCCCTTCCTGAAGGCAGGAACCCAGACGTGGCAGTGGCTTCAGTCTTGAGGACGACCCAAGAGCCCAGCGGTGGCTTTCAGCCAGGGGCCATCACCCCAAGGTGACAGGAAACGCCTGGAGGCATCTTTGGCCTTTGGACGAAGTCTGCAGCCTGTTCTTTTTTAAAAAAGTTTTACTGGCACAGCCATGCCTCTTTATGCACGCACTGTCCGCACTGCTCTGGAGCTCCATCAGCAGAGCTGCACGGCTTGGACAGAGGCCAGACGGCCACACAGCTGCCCACACAGCTGCCCACACAGCCAGAGGATGTTCCTATCCGGCTCCTTCCAGGAGTGTGTGGCCCCTGACCAAGGGGGTAGCGGGGGGTACCGAGGAGGGACCCCGGATGGCTGGGTGAGCCAGCAGGGCACTGGCCGATCCAAGAAGACCTCCGGACTGTCGAGAGAGGAGAGTACTTCTCTATCTTATGTGAACCCCCGTACTCTGGGGCCTCTCATTCACAGCAGCTTGGCCTCAGCGGCGGAGCCTGCAGGATGGTTCTCCTACAGCAGGCGGGGTGCGGAGGGGACAGGGGGTCCTGCTCCAGCCGACGAGGTCTGAGAGGAAGTCTGTGTCTGGACGGTTTTCCTCCCCCACAGGAGAGGCTGTCTAGGGTTCTCGGGCTGGAGCTCCTTCCTGCGGGGCGGAGACAACGGCCTGGTGCTCTGTGGCCACGCCGTGACCATGAGAGGGAAACAGAGGAGCCGTGAACTTGGGCTCTGCCTGCAACATCCCACTAAACTCGCCAGGAAACATCCACTCTCAGCTTTTCACGTAAAAGCGAGCAGCCCCCACTGGCCGGGCCTGCTGTCACTTGCAGCTGAGGGCACAGCTCACAGACAGTGCCATGCACGGTCGCAGCACCCAGACTGTGTCACCTCTGTGGACTTGTAATAACAGAGGATGAGTTCACTGACCAGGTACTGTGCTGGGCACCCAGCTACCCAGCTAGTGGTTGTAGGCATCTCTCTCAAATGTTCTCAGCAGCACTTTTCAGGTAGGCTGTGCAGCCAACCTCTTTGCAGCAGAGCAAAAAGGTCAGGAGAGAAGTGGGGTGGCTCCAGAGCACAGGTGTGTGTGGGGAGCCGGAGCATGAGCCACTTCCGACCACCAGCCTTAACCAGACACCACCGCCTCGCTGGGCCAGCTGCCACCAGCCCCTCAGCACCTCCCGGATCCCGCACCTGCCACCCTAGAGACAAATCTCCCAGAGCAACCAGAAAGGCTAGTTTTTCTCAAAGTAAATTATATTACGTCACTTCCTGTGATACTCTGCATAAAGCCTGACACCCTGCCCAGCGAGGCAGGTCTGGCACCTGCCCACCTTTCTCCTCTCTCACCATTCTCCTGGGGGCTCCATGCTGGCCACACTGGCTCCCGGATTATCTTCTCCAACTCAAGCCCCATCCCACCTCAGGGCCTTTGGACCTGCTCTTCTCCCTCCTGCATATTTGCTCAGCTGGCTTCTCACCCCTGAGGCCTCAATGCAATTCTCCCCCTTGAAGAGCCTTCCCCCATCACCCTAGTAACAGCCCCCCAACACCCTCATCATACTACCCTAACTTTCTTTTAGTGTTTAACAAGACTGGCCATTACCCTGTGTGCTGTCTTTCCTCACAAGAATTTCAGCTTCCTAAGGGCTAGAGACCATGCGTGCAGAGGCCAGCGCAGTGGCTGGCTCAGAGTTCACACAACGATCAGGCCCACGAGATCAGAACCACTGCCTCCATTCTGTGGATGGAGAAGGAGAAGGCATCTTGCCCGGAGTCACCCAGCTCGTAAGTGGCAGAGCCTGTCTGGCTCCAGAGCCTGTCTGCCACACTCCACCCACTTTCCCATATCCCATGTAAGGACTGATGAACCTGGGGGCACCAGGGAAGGCTTCCCAGGGACCGGGACCAGGGCCCCATCTCGGAAGGTGCACAGAAGTCTGCTCTGCTGTGACAGAGGCCCCTCTGGGACAGGAGCAGAATGGGACCCGAGGAGCAGGAAGCTGCAGGGCCCAGCAACCTCAGGGAGGGGTGCAGGTACCTATGGTCCTACCATCCACTGTGAACCCCTCTAAGCAGGCTGGCTGGACTCTGCTGCAGGTCCTGGGGTCCCCTAGCCCAGGGCCTGTCCCTGGGAAGGCACATACCTAGTGGCAAATGACGTTATTCCACTGGGCAAACCCACCATCATCCAGTGAGGGCCCAGTGCCTCCTGTGGCCGCTAGTGCCCCAGGCTACCTCCACCTGTAACACCCCTTTGTCAGCATCGCCAACCCAGGGGCACCCTGGAGCCTCAGCAGACAGCCACTGACTGGTGTCTGTCTAATGCTGCCCCACCCAATAGTCCTGCGTGCTATAGAGATTAAGAAACAGACAGAGTGACAAAAGCAGGACCTGAACCAGACCGTCTGACTCCAGGGCCCACCCTGGCTGTACCCGGCCCTATGCATGTAGGATTAAATGTTAAGAGATGGCTCTAGAGCTTAGCGGCCTGGCTTCAGTTTCAGCTCTGCAGCTCAACTCCTGTGTGACCCAGGACATGTGACTTGCCCTCTCTGGGCTTAATTTCTCCACCTGCAATACAGGACTAATAAACGCTCCTCCCCTACAAGGGGCTGCTAGGCCCAGGAATCAGAAGTGGCCTGCACAGAGTAAGTGCTCAGTGAGCCCTATCTGTCTACTCCAGGGCTTGCCAACCACAGCACTGATAGGTGGGCCGGATAATCCTGCGCTGTGGCAGCCAGCTGGCTTATGCCATGTAAAACGTTCATCGACACCCCTGGCCTCTTCCACCGGGTGCCAGGAGTTACCACCCCAACTGTGACTAACAAAAACATCTTCAGATATTGCCACATGTTCCCTGGGGGGAAAAATCCTGCAGCCCTGGTAGAAAGCCAGTGGGCAAATGTTTACTCAGAGCACAAGGGCTCTAGGGCAAATCCCAGCTCTGCCCACGACCAGCGACCAGCGACTTGTCCATGGACAAGGTACAAATGGCCCCCTTACACACCGACTCCTCGTCCTAGCTGTAAAAATGGCGAGGAAAACCCCAGTAATTCAAGAGTCACACCGTGAACTCTACATATAAAGAAAACAAAGGTGCAGAAACCAGTAGCAGGTGCTCTGCAGGCCACGGAGTAGAGTGAGCCTTTGCAGTAGTTACTTTGTGAGGTGTCAGGCGACACCCCAACTAACGAAACAAGCTCCCACACTTAAATCTATCTAACCGGAATTCCCAATAGTTTTGAAAATAGGGCTTAACAGAGGCTGATTCGAGGCCGACGGGACAGAGGTGGGGAGCGGCTGCTTCAGACAGCGCTTTCCTCCGGTCGGAGGGTCTAATCCTCTGACCCAGCTAAGGGTGGGCGCACCCCACCAGGAAGGAATAAAGGACACCGGCGGCCAACGTGATCCGTGGGATCACGACTCCGAGCGCGAGGGACGGGTGGAAGCCACCTGCACCCCGGCCGGACGGCCGAGCCCGCCGCGCCCCCTCCCTGTCCGGGCCCCCTCCCCACAGGGCCGCAGGGACCCCTCCCCGCTGGACCCCGCCGCGCCTCCTCCCTGTCCGGGTCCCCTCCTCACAGGGTCCCCTCCCCGGTCTTCCTCAGCCCCTCCCTCCCTTCCAACTGTCCTGAACTCTCCACCGCGAGGGTCCGCAGCCCTCTCCCCTCCCCGCCGCCTCCCGCTTGCCCCTCCTCTCCACCTGTCTCCCCTCACTCGGCCCCCTTCTTACCCCCTCTCCCAAGCTCGTCCAGCCGCCCCCCAAAACCCCCTCCTTTCCCCCTCGCTCACCTCACTCTCCCAGACGAAGCTCCCCAAAGCCCCTTCACCTCCTCGCACATGCGCACAAAGCTCACAGGGACTCCATGCCCCGGCAGGCTTTGCGCCAAACCATCCGTTTCCTTCTCCGCGGCGCTCGGTTACGGAGCCGCCGGTTCTCCCCAACAACCCCGCCCCCTTCCGGTTTTACCCAGAACCACATTTCCCAGGAACCATTGCGGCAAAAGCGTCTTCCTATTGGCCCTCGCCGTGGCGACCACGCACGCCCGTCTCCGAGGGGCTTCGCCAGCCCCAGAACTACATTTCCCGAGGTGCGCCGAGCGCGGCCCGCGGCCTACAGGTCTTGGCAAACAAGGCCTGTCGGCGAGCCAGACTCTGGACTACCTTTCCCAGAAGGCACGCTGGGAGCCGGCGGGCCGCGGGAGGGGAGGAGAGGCCGCGACGGCAGCTACGTGGAGCCCGGCGGCGACTGGGATCCCAGGCGTGGGAGCGCGCCCGCGAGGAGCACTGCCGGGGCCGGCTCTGCTCCGGTCAGGCCTGGGGACGCGCTTCTCCCCGCCCGCACCAGGCGGCGCTGGCCGGGGTCTGGGGACCCGGCTCGGTTGTACAGTGTGAGCCCGGAGCACGGCCTCTGGCCTCGGCACAGAAGAGGAGCGTGCCCCCCGCCACACGTCCTCGACTGCCCGCAGCGGACGGCGCCTCGCTCAGAACCTGCCGAGAACATGTGG